GCCGCGAAGCTCGTGAGGGGTGTGCCGAGCTGGGCGGAGGGCAGCATGTGGACGCACCACCTGGGCTTTTAGGTGGAGCTCCCGATGGGGCTTCGAAATGTGCGAGGGGTGCGCCGAAATGGGCAGGCGTGCGCGAGGGGTGCGTCGATCCAGGCGGGGGGGCGCACGTGGACACATCCGCCGGGGCCTCCAGTGGAGCGCCCCAGGGGGCCACGAAGCGCGTTAGGAGTGTACAGAATCCACGGGGGGCCACACGTGGACGCATTATGAGGCCACGAAGTGTGTGATGGGTGCGCCTAGGGAACCAACAGTGACATAAAAATTAAAACTCGGAGGTCCGCGCGGATTTCTCAGATCCGCGCTGGGGCCCCCTGGCAGCGCCTCCGGCGCTGCCCCTGGCGCGCGGAGCGCGCCAGGGAGGACGATCCGGCGCGGATCCAAGAAATCCGGCGGCCTTCTGAGTTTTTATGTTTAGTAATCTTCCGCTCCCCCCATGCCGAAGTGGGCGGGGGTGTGGGCATGTGGACGCACCCACTGTGGCGTTATGTGGAGCTCCCAATGGAGCCACGACGCGTGCGATGGGTGTGCCGAAGTGGGCGGGGCGGGGCGCATGTGGACGCACCCGCTGGGACCTGAAGTGGAGCTCGCTATGGGGCCACGAAACGAGTAAGGGATGTGCCGGCATTGGCGGGGGCGGGGCGCATGTGGATGCGCCCATGAGGGCCTCAGGTGCGCCCTTATGGGGTCACGAAGCGTGCGAGGGATGTGCCGAAATCGGCGGAGGACCCCATGCGAGGCTGAGCTCCCGCGAACAGTTCAAGAGGCCCGCCGAAGTGGGCGGAGGACCCCAAGCCACCCCGCCCACTGAGACCGAGGGCGAAGCGCTCAATTTGGCCTTGAAGCGCGTGAGGGGTGTCCCGAAATAGACAGGGGGCCGCAAGCGTCCGCGCCCACTGGAACCGTAGGCGAAGCTCTCTATGGGGCCACGAAACGTGTGAGGGTTGAGCCGACATCGGCGGGGGGACCCTATGCGTTTGCGCCCACTGAGATCGAAGCTGGAACTCCTGATGGGGCCACGAAGCGTTTCATGGGTGCGCCGAAATGGGCGGTGGGGATCCTATGCGTCCGCGCCTACTGGAACCGTAAGTGGAGCTCCCTGAGAGGCCACGAAACGTGTGTGTGAGGGGTGCGCCGACATTGTGAAGAAGATATTGACGATGGTGCTGTAGCTGCCGATGATGGTGATTATGATTGTATGGTAATGATGCTGATGATGATGATGGCGATGGTGATGGCAATGGCGATGGTGATGGTGATGGTGTGAAGGATGATGATGGTGATGATGATGATGATGATGATGATGATGATGGAGATGGTGATGGTGATGATGATGCTGATGCTGGTCATGATGATGATGATGATGATGATGCTGCCGACGACGATGTTTTTGATAACAGTAACATGTAGGAAGTGTAAAGGATGATGGGGCCACAAAAGAAAGAGGAGGAGAATGAGGATGAGGAGGAGGAGGAGGAGGAGGAGGAGGATACTGTCGCTAAACCAGAAAGAGCTCGTTATGTGGGCGCTTTGGTGGGGGGAACCGGACCCCCCACCTTGGATTGAAGGGGGGGGGTCGAACTCCCCACCCCCCCTTCTCCCGTGACGGAGAGGGGGGGTGTCGATCCCCCCCCCTCCCTCTTCCCCTCCTCCTCCTCTCTCCATTTCCTCCCGCCGGCGGCGGCGGCGGCAGCGGCTGACGGCGGCGGCGGAGAGCGTCGAAGGGGCATTGGGGGCGCTTGCGTCGAAAGGTGTTTTTCTCATGGCCTTCGGGCCTTCCGCCAGCGTGCCTTGGTTTCGGGTCAGAGTTCTAATGGATGCGTCTTGGGGTCTCGTCGGAGGGCTCTCGGGGGCCTTTGAGGGGTATTTGTGAAGCCTCCTGGGCGCCTCTTGGGCGTCTCTTGGGGCCTCTATGAGGTGGTGGTGGTGGTGGTTGTGGAAGTGGGTTGTGGTGGTGGTGGTTGTGGTGGTGTTGGCGGTGGTGGTTGTGGTGGTGGTGGTGTGGTTGCGGTAATGGTGGTGGTAGTGGTGGTTGTGGTGGTTGCGGTGGTGGCGGTGGTTGTGGTGGTGGTGGGGTGGTGGTGGTTTGTGGCTGTGTTTGTGGTGGTGGGTTGTGGTGGTGGTGGTGTTGGTGGCGGTGATGATGTGGTGGTTTGTCGTGGTGGTTGTGGTGGTGGTAGTGGTTGTGGCGCGAGGTGGGTTGTGGTGGTAGTGGTGGTGGTGGTGGCGGTGGTGGTGGTTGTGGTGGTGGTTGTGGTGGTGGGTGGTGGTGGTGGTGGTGTGGTTGGTGGTGGTGGCGTAGGTGGTGGTTGCGGTGGTTTGGTGGTGGTGGTGGGGTGTTGGTGCTTTGTGGTGGTGGTGGTGGTGAGTTGTGGTGGTGGGTTGTGGTGGTGTTGTTGGTTGCGGTGGGGGTGTGGTGGTGGTGGTGGCAGGTGTGGTGGTGGTGGTGGAGGCGGTGGTTGTGGTGGCGGTGGTTGTGGTGGTGGTGGTGGTGGTGTGGTGGTTTGTTGTGGTGGTGGTGGCAGGTTGTGTGGTGCTTTGTGGTGGTGGTGGTGGTTGTGGTGGTGGTAGTGGTTGTGGCGTGAGGTGGGTTGTGGGGGTGGGTGGGAAGGTGATGGTGGCGTAAGTGGTGGTTGTGGTGGTGGTGGTGGTGTGGTGTTTTGTTGTGGTGGTGGTGGTAGTGGTGATTTGTGGTGATGGTGGTGCTGGTGGCTTGGTGGTGATGGTGGTGGTGTGTTGATTTGTGGGTGTCGTGGTGGTGGTTTGTGGTGGTGCTGGTGCTGGTGGTGGTGCTGGTGCTGGTGCTGGTACTGGTGCTGGTGCTTGGTGGTGGTGGTGGTGGTGTTGGTGGCGGTGGTGGTTGTGGTGGTGGTGGTGGTGTGAGTTATTGTGGTGGTGGTGTGGGTTATTGTGGTGGGGGTGGTGGTGGGCTGCGGTGGTGGTGGGTAGTGGTGGTGGCGGTGGTGGTGCTGGTGGTGTGGTGGTTTATGGTGGTGGTGGTGGTTGTGGTGGGTTGTGTTGGTTTGTGGTGGTGGTGGCAGTTGCCGTTGTGGTTGTGGTGTAGTGGTTTGTGATGGTGGTGGTTGATGGTTGATGGTGGTGATCGTCGCTGTTTCCCCGCCGTTGGTGCCTGGCCGCCGCAAGCGCAGGCGCCAGCACCGGGACCGACGGGATGGGAGGGGGTCGAATCCCCCCCCCCCCGGGAGAGCCGGACGAGGAAAGATCGGGGGAGTTAGAATCTCCTATTTTTTTCCTGGGGGGGGGCTTGGAACCCCCCCACTTCCCTTGTGAGCGGGGGGGTGTTCGGGGACGGGTGGGTTTCTTGGGTTTCGATGGATTTGCTGTGGGAAGCGCGACGTGCTCACACCAGAAATCAATGGACGTTCTGGGGTCTCAAGGTTGGTTTTCTTGTAGAAGGTTTCTTGTGGACTGGCCTCCGCGGAAAGAAGCCTGTCCTCGGACTTAAAGAACTAACTTGCCAATCTGTGGCTCCCTCTCCAGGTCAAGTCGTCTGCCCTGCCTTCGCCTGGACTGTGTGGGGGGCGCTGGCGGGACGGGGGCCTCGCCCTTCTTGGCGAGTTGGAGCCGGACGCCCCCCCCCTCCTTCTCCTCCTCCTCCTCCTCCTCCCTCCCCCTCCCCCTCCCCCTCCCCCTCCCCCCCCCTCCTCCCACTCCCCCTCTCCCTCCTAATCCTCCTCCTCCTCCTCCTCCTCCTCCTCCTGCTCCTCCTCCTCCTCCCCTCCTCCTCCTCCTCCTCCTCCTTCTCCCCTCCTCCTCCCCCCTCCCCCCCCTCCTTCTCCTCCTCCCCCCTCCTCCTCCTCCTTCTCCTCCGTCTCCTCATCCTCCTCCAATCTCCCAGAGACTGGGAACAGGAAGTGGCGAACCCCCTGTACCTTGAAGGAAATGGCTGACCCCCTCTGCCTTGACCCCGTAGAACTATCCCGAGTTGGGGGACTCGTAGCGAACGAAGCCGCGGACAGCGAAGCAAGGCAGGGGAAGATATGGTTTGGAAGCGCATTCGGAGCGCCCCTGTTTAATTCATCCGCACGCTTAATGTTGTTATTTGCTGGCCGGTATAGGTCTTTCGCGTTGGTTGGAAGCGGTTCGAACACATGATGTGGTCATTGCAGGTGAGATTAGTCTGGGGGCAAATTTAGAGGGCAGGGGGTGCAAGGGCGATGTTGACATATATTGGGAAGAAGAACATCACGTGCCCTCGCAGCATATTATCTGCTGGGCGAAGTGTGATATTTGTTCAGTGTGGCTCCACATGTTTACCATGCGATGCAATGACATCCAAAGCATGTGGGCACTCGATATTCGGCGTTTGTTGTCGTTTGGCGTTGGCGCTTGTTGTCTTATGCGGTAAGCCATGGCATTACTGCACGCGTTTTGTTGCTTTCATTGGTGGGGATGTTTTCGCTTCGTCTGAACATGATCCGGCCATACATTCCCCAGTGTCGCTCCTCAGTCTTGCATGTGACAGGTGCTGCGCGGTTCTGGAGAGAGTGGGACAAATAAGTTCTGTCGGCCATGATTGCCGAATCGAAAGAGACAGTAACACAACCATGCCCGTACATGCTACCCCCAGGCTGCACAAGCATGTTGGTATATTTTTGTTCGACGCATGCCCAGTGGCTTCCAGCCTATCCCGCCAGCTTCGGGCTACGGTAGCGGACGTGTTCTCCACGGGTGGAAAGGATAGGCAGGTATTTGCGACCGTGGATGCATTCGTGGGCGGTGCGAGCATGTCCATGTTCGCAGGATTCGGCATGCTTAGAGCTCGATGCACACGCAGGAAGCCCCGGACAGCCTCGGTAGATTCCAGAACATATTCTTCGAGGTATACGATCAAGTGATGTTGTTGTGTCCTCCTGCTCCTTACACTTCTTATTTATGTCCTTGCATATCCCCGACCTCTTTTGTTCCGCACATCCCACCAGAAAGTCGAGCTCGAGGATAAGATCGAGCGCAAGATGGATGCGGAGCTCGAGAAAGAGGAGGGCCAGGCAGCTGCTGCGAACGAAGCAATCGAAGTTGTAACCAAAACATCCGAACGAATAGAGATACACCAGACTGGGTTGCACAGGGCGGCTGCCCGATGTGTCGGGGCCGAGATTGTATTGAAGGTCACACCAGGACGCAATGCCATCATTGATGGCCATGGTGGAAGGGCTTCGGAGACAAAAATTTCACCATGGACGTGCCGGACACGTTTGCAGCAATTAGCACCGACGATGGGCCCATGGGGAATTGATGATTGTGTGAGAAGGCACGCTGTTATCATGCGTTGTGCTCCCTATTGGACTTACATGGGACACCGCCACAGGGACACACACACACATGGATAGCACATATGGACGAAGAAGGAGAGTACGAGAAAGGGGTTCAGACAGGGGGCGAGAACGTGTCCGAAAGTGGAGGCCGTGTCCTCCCTTGGCTGGTCTCGGGCGAGTTCTTATTTGAATTTGCGCGCACCCACTCTCCGCTGGATCCCCCGTGCCCAGACCACAACACTGTAGCGACAGGCGAAAAGAAGTCTGGCAGCACCCATGGATCGGCGGCGAGACAGAGGGTGCAATGCCAAGGAGAAGGCCATCTCAAGAGGCTCGGAAGTCCCTCGGCCCTCTGAGAAGTTTTCGAAGCCTTCCCCGAGGACACAGATAACTTATCAGAAGGCGCGAGGGCTTCTGAGAAGTCCCGCCGTGGTCTGAGAAGGCCTTCTCTTTCTCACTTGCACCCCTCGTTTGCCGCCGAAGGAAGCTCGAAATCTGATCTGTGCGACTGGCGCTATCGCAGTGGACCTTCACGCGCGCATCGAAATATGCCGACTGGGGGCAGCTGCACGCTTTTGGCAACGCCCCCGGAGGGCGAGGTGTACAGTCGGCACTGATTAGTAGGTCGATCTTGCCAAGTCAAGGGTACCCTTGTGTCCTGTGTCTCGCGACCCATGCCTCCTACTTTCCTATGGCAATGTGGCGCTGGGAAGGGTCTTGTGTCCTCTCGCGTGTCCTGTCCAATCAAGTCCGACTGTATGCTGGATCTGCGCACGGCGTCCCTCCGCGTGACCTCCGCGTGGGGCGCCGCGGCGTGGCGGGGGGGGGGGGGCACGCATGGCGGCGCCCAGGGACGGCGAGGTCTTGTTTGTCAACGGCGAGCGAGGGGGGGTTGTGAGAATCTAGGCATCCTAGATTGGGTCGGAGTAGATGGGGTCGGAGGATCGCGCTGCATCTCCGATGCATCGCCACTGCGGCTCGACGTGGAGCCCGATTTGCTTCACGCCGACGTTGCCGATGCAGCACCAGCGTCGCTGGGGCATCGCCAATGCATCGCCGAATCATCGGTGATGCATCGGCGATGCATTGGCGATGCGGTGCGATCCTGCGACCCCATCTACTCCGACCCCATCCAGGAAGCCTTCGCAGAAGGCGGCGGGACTTCTCAGAAGCCCTCGCGCCTTCTGAGAAGTGTTCTGCGCCTTCGTGGAAGGCCCAGAAGGCTTCTCAGAAGGCCGGGGTACGTGCGAGCCTTCTGAGAAGGCCCGCTCCTTCTCACTTCCCCCCCACGCTCGCCGCCAAGTTTGGGTGCGAGAGGGGGTCAGTCCGCTGGACTCCAGGGGGGCGCCGCTCCTTGGCGTGCCCTGTGCGCCTGGGGAGGGGGGGGGGGCGGGGGAGGAACTCAGGCGGAGCGGTGCCGAGCCGTTCTCTCGTACGAACACGCCGGGCTTCGCGTGGCCGTACTCGGTCGGTAGGTTGGTCGGCTGTCTGTCAGGTTGGCTGGTCTGTTGGGCGGTTGGCAGTTCGGCTGAGTGTTTTTGTTTGTGGAGGTGAGCGCTGCGCTCTTCGATATTGCAGTTTGTCGGTTGGTTGTTTGCGCGATGTTGCGTGAATTGAGGAACAAAGGTGTCCTCGGCAGCACGGTCCTGTTGTATTTGACGGGCTCGCGGCTTCGGGAGCGCGCCCCCTTTTATTTTCTACGATTTTGGCCTCGGGCACAAAGCAGACTTCTCAGGAAACGCATTTACTAATTACTGGTCTGGAGCAGGGGTTGACGCTTTTGAGCAGCCTCAGGGGGTGTGCTCGTGGCGTCGGGAACGCGAGTCTGAGTTTACAACAAAGGATTGTCGTATCGGGGAGCGGATATGTCGCAAAACATTCCGCTGTCTGCGGCAAACCCCGCCACCGCGCCTGTGCAACAGCGCAGCAGGAAGGATTGTGAGTTCATGGACGCCGCAATTCCGCCGAGTAGTCTGCATTGGGGCGGGTCGTGGTCCCGACTTCGTCTTCGTTTGCGCGTTAGGGAGGGTGGTGATGATGATTATGATGATGATGATGAGGAGGAGGAGGAGGGTGAGGATAATGATCATGATGCTGATGACGATGAGTATGATGCTGATACTGATGTTGATGATGTTGGTGATGATTGTGATGATGGTGATGATGATGATGATGGTGGTGGTGGTGGTGATGGTGATGATGATGATGATGAGGAGGAGGAGGAGGAGGAGGAGATAGAGAAAATGAGGATGAGGAGGAGAAGGCTTCTTGGGACCGTATCGGGCCTCCTCGGGGCTTCCTGGGAGTTCCTTGGAAGCTTCTTGGAGGCCTCTTGGGGGCCTCATTGGGTCTCTTGGGGGTCTCTTGGGGCCCCATGGGTCGTCTTAGGGGACTCTGCTTGTCTGACGCTGATGGAGGTCGCCTTGGGGTGCTCTCTAGGCCGTGTTGGTGTTCTATTGGATCGGTTCACGGCCGTCTTGGGTCCCTGTTGGGAGCCCGTGGGCAATTGTTTTGGCAGATTTGAACTCGTGGGAGCCCCTTGGGCTGGCTTGGCGCTTTGGAGGCATCTTGGAGGCGTCGTGGGCCGCCTTGGGCAATTGGAAACACGAACAGTCGAGAACTTCAACATCTCTTCAACAATTAAGGGAAATCACTTGTGTTGACCCCCTCGGGCTCTCCAGGAGGGCCGCCTGTAGCCCTATTAGGCCGTCTTGGGGTCGTCTTGATCTGTCTTGAGGCTGTCTTGGGGGCTTCGTGAGCTGCCTTGGGCCATCTTGGTGTCAGATTGGCTGCCCTGAAAGCCGTCCTGGAAGGCATGAGGCTCCCAAGAAGGCCTCAAGACAGACCAAGATGTCCCCAAGACTGCCCAAAGGGTCTCCAAGATGCCTTCCAGGAGAGCCCGAGGAGGCCAACGACCTTGATTCTCCAAAGGTTTTTGAAAGATTTCTGGCAGGTTTGGGCTTCTGGCCACCCAAGGCAGCGCAACCGGCTCTTGGGCCGACTTGGGGCCCTATCGGGGGCCTCTCGGGTTATCTTTGAGCTATGTGAAGGCCTCTTGAAAGTTTATTCGGCCCTCTTTGGGCAGTCGGAAACCAAAAAAGACGAGACCCTCATACTCCTGCAGGAACATAAGGAAACGCAACTAGTTCAGCTTCCTTAGGCTCTCCAGGAGGGCCCTCTTGGACCCCCCCGTGGGCCGTCTTGGATGCCTCTTGGGCTGTCTGGAAGTTGTCTTGAGAGGCTCTTGAGCTGTCGTGGGTAATCTAGAGCTGTGTTGTCGTCGTCTTTGCTGCCTTGGAAGCTGTATTGGAGACCATGCGGTTCCAAAGAAGGCCACAAGAGGTCCAATAATTAGGTCCCCAAGGGGTCTTCCAGGAGAGCCCGAGGAAACCAAATATACGGACATCCCTTAAGTTGTTATCAAGGATATTGAGGTACTAGAATGCTTGGTGTTCCGACCGCCCAAGACATTCCAACCAGTCTCTTCGGGCAGTCTTATTGTTCTCTTAGGGCTCTTGAAGGCATGCTTGGGGCCCTCTTAGGAACCCCTCGGGCCGACTTGGGGTCCTCTTGGGAGTTCCTTGGCTGTCTTGGAGCTACCTTGGAGGCCTCTTGGAGGCTTCTTGGGTCGTATTTGGCGGCCGGAAGCCCGAACAGTTGAGAGCTTCAATGCCCTTCAACAAATCATCGGAAAATCAATGGTGTTGGCACTCTCGGGCTGTCCAGAGGAAGGCCTCTAGGAGCGGCTTGGGCCGTCTTGGATGACTCTTGGAGCCCTCTTAGGCCGTCTTGAGGGCCTGTTGGGCAGTCTTGAGTTTTCTTGAGAAGTTCTTGAGGTATCTTGGGCCATGTTGTGCCGCTTTGGTGCAGTATCGGCTGTCTTGGAAGCTCTCTTGGAGGCCATCTTGGCCGCCTGGAGGCCGAGACGACCGCCAGAAAGCAAACATAGCGCCCACGCAACAAGCAAGCATTCTGACACGCCCACTCCGTGCAGGCACGGTGGTGGATATCCTTATATTGTAGCGCCCCTCAGTTGCGGATAAGAGAGAGGGGGCGGCGGGGACGTCGGCAGTCTGCGAGGCTCTGAAGAAGCTGGCCGCAGGCGCCACATTTTTGACAATTCTGCAGCAAGCCCGCCGCAGACGCCAATTTTTTCGTTACCGCAATGTTGGTCGCGAGGTGGGTCGCGGGTGGGTCGCGCGTGGGTCGAGGAGGAGGAAGAGGAGTTGGAGGAGGAGGAGGAGGAGGAGGAGGAGGAGGAGAAGGAGAAGGAGGAGGAGCAGAAGGAGGAGCAGGAAAAGGCCTGTTGGGAGCCTCTCTGGCCATTGGAGCACCCCGGGCCTTCCTGGGGGGGGGCCTCTTAGAGGCCTCTTGGGGGCTCCCTTGGGCCTCGCTGGGGTCTTTGGAAACTCTTTGGCCGTCCCAGGGCGTTCCTGGCCGATCTGGCGCCGTCTTGGGTGCCTCTCTGGGCCGACATGGGGCAGTATTGGAGAATCTCAGGGCCGTCTTGGAGGCCATCATGGGCGTATTGGAGGCCTCTGGGGCCGCGTTGGGGCCCTCTTGGGGCCGTCTTGGAGGCTTCTTGGACTGCCGTGGGCCGTGGGGCCATCTTGGAGGCTCTGGTGCCATCTTGGGGCGATCTTTGGGGGCTTTTGGGCCGTCGGAAGGCCGAAAAGAAGCAAATACCCAAATCCATCACAAAGCTTGAGGACATCAATGATTTTGGCATCTTC